GGAGATCCGGCCATTTTCATCGGGTATGATTTCTTCCGGGATTCTAAAACTCAGAAATCGACACTGCCTCTCACCTTGCGGAGATCCCACTCCATCAAGAAGTACCTGAATGAAAAGATATCTTGAGAAGCACTACGTTACGTCATGTATGACCTAAGCAAGAAAGCAGTTCTCAGTGCGGAAACAAGATCTAACTATCAAAAAAAGATAGCACATACCCCTTCATAAGTCTTTTCTTGCGCCTTTCCATTTTTGGCACCGCCTCTTTTAAACTTCTAACCTGTTCCTCATCCATTTCCACAGTGGTGTTCCATTCAGGCACCTTGAATTGCTCGCGTAGTTCTTTGATTGTAAAGGACCTGAGAAGCGAGTTAAAAATAACGAACAAAACGACCACATTTCATGAAAAGCTATGGTTTCGGACAAAACCTCACATTCTCTGGACCTCTTCGTCGACAATCTTGATATTCGTCACTTTTGAAGACTCAAGCACAGCGAGAAACACCTCTGATGGTATATATCGGTTGCTTCGCAGAGCATTTCACCGGTAGAAAGTATTCCCAAGCCGCAGTCAAAGTGCGACATTGCCGGTTTCCGATATCAGCGCACATTAAGGAGCATCCAGAAGAGGTGACTGAAACGGTAGGTAATAATATACAGTAATATATAGAAACATACAATGGAAAAAAGAAAGAAAGCCGTAGAAATGAGTAAAGTAACAAACTGACTGCCAACACCTTAGCATTAGGGACTCCATTGTACCAGGAGACAAAATCTGATCCCGAAATTACATTCGTCGACCCTGATCCAGGAATATCTAAGTGACGCGGACGATGAGCACCGTAAGCAAGCAAGATAGCGTCATAATGTTTTGTTAACTCTTCTACAGTAACGTCGGATCCTATCCTGGAAATGCAAATTTCCTTGAGAATCAAAAACAATGAATTAAAAATCGATCATTAAACACACGTACCTAACATTACAAAACAATGAAAGACGAATCGCGATGGGACTCAAACATGCGATCAAAAATGTTTGTACAATTTTTCATCTGAAAGTATAAAAAAACAATGGCACGGCCTGTGAGCAAGGGGCAATTGAATTAACGACCTCCTGATGATCAGGTGCAACACCATACCGCACAAGGCCATAGGGAACAGGAGCTGCATCAAATACATCGAATTTGCTGTCCGGCAAGCGCCGCAGCAATGAACCACAAGAGAACAATCCTGAACGATGTTATTGATGTTAATGAACGATAAGCAATGAATGCTGCTACGATATCCAGAAAAAATCGTATAAATGATAACCTCCAACGAATCCGCCACAAATCTACTGAAACAGCTGAAGCTGAAACATTTGCTCATACTACCGATTAATAAATTCTCGATCCGATTTAATATACCAAAATCACACGAAAGAAAATATTTCTATGGCTATGTACTGCTTATTCTAAAAGTTACGCCTCAATTGCCAGTTAGTAGAATCAAATGTGAAAAGAATAATCCATACCACATAACATAACTCTAGGGAAGTTTTGCTCCAGCTGCTCCCAAGGTTTTTTCTACCCCGCTCCAACCGTAGTGATTGGGTGCTACTGCCCAGACCATTGAACGTTATCTCAGTGGAAACCCAACAGGTCAGATATTCTGTTAGATTTTTTAAATGAATGGGAATTTGACCAAAGACAAGCGGGCTGGAACCAAATTCAGAGTGGTGCCCAGATTATCGAAAAAAATCCGCTTTCGACCCAAAAAATTAGCAACGACAAAGTAATGGCATAATATGGGGTCCCAAAAAAAAGAACTGACCTGCTGACCACCTTGGTGGAGTGCAATCAATTCTAGACGCCAGGAATATTAACTACTTGACGTTTGATGAGTGGAAAAAGATAGACGAAGCAGAAGTGAAGAAAGGAGCCGAAAAGGGAAAAGTCCGAGAAAAGTTGACAAAGTTCAATGGTTTTCTTCGCAAACATTCTCAAGTAGAGAACGTGTAGTGATTGTTTGTGGTATATAATAGAGTTGTTGTAGACTTTGTTGAAATTTACCGTTCTCAACCATTTGCTCAATTATTTTTTTTCTTTTAATAACCATAATTTCCTAACGATTATGCGTGCTAGGTGCTGTGATAAATCGCTCAGCGTGTATTTTCAGATAATTGTTGGAAAGTTGTTGTTTGCTTGGCATAGAACTTTGTTTTATGTATGTATACATAAATCATAAACGTTACAAGCTAATTGTTTTAGTAGGGAGAGTGAACTGTGTCTGTGCACATCGTATCTGATCCAAGTTTCTAGTTAGTTGAACAATTCTTTGCGTATTTTGATTTCTGTTTGGTTTGGTTAGTTGTATCAGCGACATTCAAGGAGTGAATCGATGGCGTCGCTTGAATCAAAGCTATTGGATGGCAAGAGTGCAGGCTACTGTAGTAGCTCAGACGAGGAAGAAGGTAGTTGGTCAGTGGCTAAGGATGACGATCAGCATCAAGTTAGTTTTCTTGCAGTTCAGTCGGTCTAAAGTTTTTTTTTCATAATTGTCAGTGTAATTCGCCTCACAACTGAGATGCCGAACTAGTGTTTCTTTCCCCGACGCTTCGTCATATTTCCAAGGGTTCCAAAAAACGCGATGGTTTATCGCGTTTTTTGGAGCCCTTGGAAGTTTGCCGTGATAGTTTCCCAGTCACCGCTGAATTGTACTAACATGTGTACCAAAGCAAAAGGTGACATCCATAGAGAATCCAACTTGAGCGTTGCCATTATATTTTGTTCATTCAGTCCCAGTTCAGATTTTATTTTTAGACACTTTCTGTTATCTCAAAGCTCTATCGTTCGCGATCAATGTTTCGTGTGAGTTGTTACAGTACAGTAGTTGCTCCCAATGAATGTCTGGGAGAAATAGTGCGCAGCGTGAATAGATGAAGAAATTCTCTATTCAGTAGTTTGTTAATCCACTATCAATCGACTATTATTTCCATGTAACAATATAGTTTCGAGAAGACAATTATAGTTTGTCATGTTCTTGTTGATAAGTAGCGATGCAGCGAGTCATCCATTTTCAGGCTAATGTGATGCGAAAAATGGGTCCCAGTACTAACACCGGTGCGAAAGGAGTACTAAACGAGTACGCAGCTTTTCAACAACAGGCTACAAGAGCGCGTGAAGCCAAAGATAGAGAAGTGCTGAGACAAGCGCGTAAAGGGATGCTGCAAGGATCAAAACTGGAACGAGAAGAGGTGAGAGTGCTTACTTTTCATGTCATCTCAGTATTAAATTTTGTTGAGTTTTGTCACTGAGATGATATAAAAGAGAAAGGTAACTTTGTGCGAATTTGTTTGTCTTAAATA